CCTCATGGACGTAGTATTATTGGCAGTATGATAATTTAACAGTATCGCCTGTGCCAAATGACGGAAAGCACGTATTTGTTCACGGCATGCATAAGGCGAGTAATTTGACAGTCTTTAAATGTGACGAGGGCTGATGACCAGACAAAATATCATTGCCAACGAGGTCGTACAGCTTCTAACTCGGTAACCCTTACAGTAATTAGGCCTACACCTCTTGATTCGGATTATCCAAAATGTACCATTACTAACAGCACAGATAATATACATGTTGGAGAAAATGTGGAGATCGTGTGCACTGCAATCGGTGGTATAGCAAGACCATCTTTACATTGGTTCAAAAACAATATCAAACTAGAGGAAGCCGAGGATTTTACGTTAGAGGTTAGTAGTGTTACCTACTTCGACATATTATCAATCTCATTGTCAAATGAGGATAATGGAGTCGAATTCAAATGTAAAGCTGATGGAATATCTGTAGTTGGAAACCAGTCTTACTCTGTTGTGCCTTTAAGCATCCAGCCTAATTTAAGTATAATTGTAACTAAAATGTCATTTGATGCTGGAAACTCATTAAACATTACCTGTTTCGGTGAGGGTATTCCACGTATTTCGGAATATAACTGGTTCTTTAACAATAAGCACGTGACGTCATCTCAATCAATGTTCAATATTATTGAAATTGGTATGATTTTAGAGATTTTAGAACTTCAAACTGAACACTTAAATGCTGAAATAAGATGCAAAGTCAGTATACCATCTGGATTAAGTGCCAATAAAAGCATCACTCTTTCTTTTACCAGCCACGATGCAGCAACTGGTGACTTGATAATTTACATGGTAAGCGGAGCTGTATTAGGCCTACTTATTTTACTAGGCCTATTTGTAGTTTGTATCAAAACGAAAATTAGGAGGAGTCAAGAAAAAAGAGCAAAATGACATCACATTATGCCAATCACAACAAGGCTGAATTAATTGAAATGAATAACGACTTGTACAGCAATGGTGAGCCTCAACCAGAACATCCTGCTAATGCTCGGAAGTAAAAGTGTCGAAAATTTCATATATTCCGATGTAACAGACATCAAACAAAATTAAGTCTTAAGCCCCAAAGAAACATATTCAATGGAAAATAATAGATAGCGACCAGACAGAATATACTATTGACTACTAGATCTATTGACGACCTTTATCTTGAGCCAAAATTTAAGAATTTAAGAAAGTATAACCCAGATACACAATCAATTGATGGAATACCTTATTTTTTAGATCTATAAAACACTGACAATCAATTCATCAGTCTGTTGAAAATATATTGGGATCTCTTAAAAATGCACGTCCTCAAACCGATCGGAATTAGTTGATCTATACAGAAAAGCCTATCAAGAAACGTGTAACTTCGGCATCTGAACATTTACCAGCACAACTTTACACTAGGTCGACGGATGGAACACACAAGGAAGCGTCTGAAGCGAAACCTACCACATGCCCTTGCAGGCATTAAATAGAAAGCAATAACCTTTCGAACAACATTGAACTGGACTTACATATTCAAGCATTGTATAGACTGTGTTAACAGTATGGTATTTTCATGATGTACATCTGTTAATTGAAATTGGTGACAGCTCATTTGATATACATGCGATAAAAAAATGCTAACAAAAATTAGGATAATAATTATTATAAAACGTGTTATAATGAAAGAAAATTATGTATAAGATGTTATTTCATAACCTCCAAGATGCATAATACCTCAAAAATCTATACTGATATTGAAATTTCATTTAAAGTAAACCACAACTTCAACTTATATTACGTTTCAGTATACATAAATAAAAACCACCTTATAAATCTTGAAAAAACCATATTGGCCTATATATCCAAATAAAAGTGACGATGATCACTAATAGTCGAAAGTTATGCTTTAAATATAAATAGAATTATTACATAATAATGTAATAATAATGTAATAATTCTATTTAAATATAAATAGAATTCTTACATTATTATTACATTATTACACCAATCCAGAGAACAAGGTTTTGTTTATTTATTAACATTTTATTTCAATATTTTATGCATAGTAGGAACTTAAGTGAACAATCCCTTGTGTTTTGCTGTTGTTATTACGAGATATAAATCTCTCAGTATTCTCCTGTTGGTTTTCTCATGTTTTTATAATAGTTAACTATAGCTTTATAGTAAGTAAATGAACAAGTGTTGTGTTGTTTGCCCAGATATGTTTTTACATTATGTACGGTGACTAGAACGAAGAAAACAAACACATAAGGTGAATCAATATACCTGGAACAACAATTAAGTATAAATCTATAATAAAACATTAAACCAAGATTTATATAAGCCTAATAATATATGTTTTATTTCCATGTTTTGATGTATAGTGCGAACTGTCTTAGGCAACACTTATTGTGTGGGTGCTATTGTTCATATGAGATGTTTTACAGTATTCGTTACACCACGAAAAAGTTTACACAAGTTTTGAGGTTTTGTTGTTTGTATTGGAGAGCAGCTTAGCTCAGTCGGCTAATCTGGTGGTAGCCACTGTGTTTGCACTGAACCGTTGAAATCTGTAGGTCCCCGGTCCAATTCTCATCGCTGTTTCAGCTAGAGGGCTGAAATACAAGTTATAATAGCGCACCGTCCTTCGGAAGAGACGTTTAAGCCGTTGGTTGCAGTACACTCTTGGAAAAGAGTAGGGGATTATCTCTCCGCGTACTGTCCAATCACCACCAGAAGGACCCCACTGGAAATAAGTCTACTTCTAGACATTCGTAGGCTATCCTTGGTGTTTACACCAAATAAATCCAATCCAATTGGCTCTTGATTTCAGACAGAACACAAAATACAGATAATAATATTGTCGTTTGATTTATTGGTATTGAACAAATTTGATTAGGTTTAGGTCTGGTAATAATGTAAAGTATTATTCGGACGTACATGAAATCATTAACAATAAGTGAGCACCTACGTTACATCTGCACCACAGACAATACTGGTAAATGTTCGTCTGGATGTTTACATTGTCAACAAACATTTAAGGAGGGTAAATGTTAAGTCAACTTAAAAGGCAAATTTACTTACCAACATAATATTAATATTGCGTAATTACCTAATATTACTATTATCCTCTTCAACATTTGAGTATCTTGAACTAGGCGGAATAAACTCATACGAAATACTGTTAAGAGGTCTAATCTCACTGTCCATTCACTGACTGTACCAATATCACTTTACGATTTTTTAAAATATTGAGAATTGAAAAGTTCATTTATTTGCAATAAAATATTTGAAGGCAATCATCGAAAATTGCTCCAATGTTTTTGCACGCTGCAGGTGGAAGGTGATACACTGATGTGACTAACCTAAACTTTCTGCCTTTGTTGTTTTGACTCGATAATGATAATCTCTGTTTTGTCCTTGTTGATCTTTAAGTAGTTTCGAGTCAACCAGGAACAAAGATCATCAAGATAAGACTCAGTGCGGGCTATTCCGTTGTCAACTTCTGATCCAACTGGTAGGCATGGAATGTAAATATGCGTATCATGAGCGTACGATGGAAAATGAAGATTTTTTTTTACAAACCTCCAATAAATTCAGCAGTTATGGTAAAGACTACATGTGTTTAAATTCAGTATTATGATTAGTAATGCTCCCATCATAGAGCTTTATGTTCCGGTTGACGTCCGGGGACTGAATGCCCCGATTCTGTAGTAACGTATATATCAATAACATGTTTGGATTTAATCGAGTTATTGCATCGCACATGGAATTGTTTATTTTGTTGGATACCTTACCCCTTTACAAACATAGATATACTCCACCATCCTTCGTCCGACGCCAAATCCAATCAATGTTTATTGTGATTGCCATTTCTTGATATTGTGGTCTAAAAGTTTAATTTTAGGATGCCCGAAAATCGTAGCTGGCAGTAATGCAGAACCGCTATACCCATCTTCTCAAGTGGTAAAGAATTAGTTGAGATATGAATTCATCATTTTTTAAAATATGACTTTCTGTTGATAGGTCTACACAATAAAAGCAGCTGACAACCAGAAGAAAGTTACGCCTACCCCATGCAGGGGCAGTTACAGGATTTAAAGATAGTGGAAGTGGACTAGATATAATACCCTCCACTTCAGCTCCACCATGGTTGAAAAATGGCTCCTCTGCAGGAGAAAACACATCATTACTTTAAAAAAATGAATATCCATCACTTTAGCGGCTTAAATTTGTATTGCATGTAATCAGCTGATGCCGACTTGGCACGAATACTTTTGTGTTGTGATGGCAATTTGGCAAATCTAACCCGTAAAATTTTATAAGATAAAAGTTAATTTTAATTTTATATTTATAAGCCTACCTCAAAATATTTTCAAAATTTGTTTTTATCTTTTTCACTAATAATTAAAGTTTGCCAAAAAAGTTAAAAAGTAGGCAATATAAAAACAAGCGCATGGTGGATTTTTGTTTAAATATATAAGTATCAGTATATATTTAAAATAATAGAATCGAGAAAAAGTGGTCCGGCCACAACCGCTGTGGTTTTGACGGACCTGATAACTCGATTCAGTGGCGTATCTAGGGGGCTGTGTGGGTGGAGAACGCCACTCAAAAATACTCGCTCCCCTCCCCCTCAAGTAGTTAAAAGTCACCTAATATTACCTTATTTTGCGAGTTAGAGCCCTTCACCTAATCATCTAGCACCCCACCCCCACGTGCCATTCGTGCTCCCTATCATCCCCTCCCCCAAGATTCCTCTGAGCTGTGCCACTGACTCTCTTCTGTGACCTTCTGTCATGTTAGTTGTATATTCAGCGTTTGTTGTAATGAATATATTGGTAATACATTTATCCATATTTAAGGGACAGATTAGAGTAGATTTAATGGCTTATTTAAAGGCTTGCAAAACTTCATTAAAATTTCATTTTGAAAAACATGAACAGCATACAGATTGAGTTCGTCATGCATGGTGTAATTCTCCAATGAATTAAATCATTGTACCGTATAAAATATAAATATTACGCCTACATGAACAACACAACTGTATTTCCTTGTATGACACTACTGTACTGAATACCAAAACGTTAAGACAGTATGTTATGATATTGGGTTATTTCAAGACACCATGCACTGTATCATACTTAACTTAGGCCTATCATTTGGTCTGTTGTGCCCCAGAAAGAGAAGATGGCAGCACTTATTGGTTTTGATTTTAAGTTGTATATGCAACGTTGCTTGTACTGAAATAATTCATCCTACAGATGTAGTCGTATTTGAGGGCCAGAATGCCTTCTTTGAGTATTCCTCATCGGTCCAGGCTTCTTCATGGGCCTGGTACAGGACGCGGCATCGTGAAGCAGTGCGTCTGTTCAATGACGGAAAATACGTTATATTTGTTAACGGCATGCGTACGGCGAGTAATTTGACAGTCTTAAATGTGACAAGGGCTGACGATCAGACAAAATATCATTACGAACGAGGTAGTACATCTTCTAAATCGGCAAGCCTTACAGTCATTACACCTCTTGATACGGATTATCCAAAATGTAATATTACTAGCACTATAGATAGCATACATGTTGGAGCAAATGTGGAGATCGCGTGCACTGCAATCGGTGGTATACCAAGACCATCTTTACAATGGTTCAAAAACAATAGCAAACTTAATGAAACCGACGATTTTACGTCACAAAATAGTAGTATTACTTATCTGGACATCCTATCAATCTCACTGTCAAATGAGGATAATGGAGTCGAATTCAAATGTAAAGCTGATGGAGTATCTGTAGTTGGAAACCAGTCTTGCTTTGTTGTGCCTTTAAGCATCGAACCTAGTGTAAGTATAATCGTAAATAAAATGTCATATGATGCTGGAGACTCATTAAACATTACCTGTTCCGGTGAGGGTATTCCACGTATTTCGGAATATAACTGGTTCTTTAACAATAAGCACGTGACGTCATCTCAATCAATGTTCAATATTATTAAAAATGGTACGATTTTAGAGATTTTACAGCTTCAAACTGAACACTTAAATGCTGAAATAAGATGCAAAGTCAGTATACCATCTGGATTAAGTGCCAGTGAAAGCATCACTCTTTCGTTTACCAGTCATGATGCAGCAACAAATGACTTGATAATTTACATAGTAAGCGGATCTGTATTAGGCCTACTTATTTTACTAGGCCTGCTTGTAATTTGTATCAAAAGAAGGAGTCACGAAAAAAATAGCAAATTGACTACATCTCATTATGTCAATCACGCCGTGTCGTTGAACCAGGTTGAATTAAAAGAAGACATGAATAAAGACTGGTGCAGCAGTGGTGATCCTCAACCACAACAACCAATGCCCACGCTTGGAAGTAAAAGTGTCGAAAATATCTTATATATATCAGACATCAAACATAATCAAGGCTTAAGCTCCAAAGAAACATATTCATTGGAAAATATTTCAAGAGATCGACCAGACAGAATACTTTTGTCCACTAGTTCTATTGACCACCTTTATGCTAAGCCAGATGGTGAACCTCAATTAGAACATCCAATGCCCATGCTTGAAAGTGGAAGTGTCGAAAATATCTTATATTCCGATGTTCCAGACATCAAACATAATCAAGGCTTAAGCCAAAAAGAAACATGTTCATTGGAATATATTTCAAGAGAGCGACCAGAGAGAACGCTATTGTCCACTAGTTCTATTGACAACCTTTATGCTGAGCCAGAATTTAAGGATTTAAGAAAGCATAACCCAGATACACAATCAATTGATGGAATTACTGATTTTGGAGATTTATATGCAAAACCAATAAAAGAGAAACAGAAACCAGATACGCGATCAATTGATGGAATAGCTGATTTTGGAGATCTATATGCAAAACCAATAAAGGAGAAGCAGAATCCAGATACACAATCAGTTGATGGAATAGCTGATTTTGGAGATCTATATGCAAAGCCTATAAAACACCGACAATCAATTCATCAGTCTCTTGAAAATATTTTGGGATCTTCAGAAAATGATAACACGTCCTCAAACCGGTCGGAATCGGTTGATGATCTAGGCATATTATACAGTAAGCCTAATAAGAATCGTGTAATGTCTTCAACTGAACACTTACCACAACTTTACATCAAACCGGATAGAACACACAAGGAATCGTTTGAAGGTAATCCTACCACATACACTTGCAGGCCAGGAATAGAAAGCAATGCCCTTTCTAATAACATTAAACTGGACGTTATATATTCAAGCATTGCTTAGACAATATTAACAGTATGGTATTTTCATGAGTACATCTGTTAATTGAAATTGGAGACAACACATTTGATATAAGAGATCAAGAAAATTCTAACAAAAATTAGGAAAATAATTACGCCTATTATAAAACGTGTTATAATGAAAACAATTATGTATAAAACGTGTAGATTTCATAACCTCCAAGATGCATAATACAGTACTTTACAAATCTATACTGATATTGAAATTTCGTTTAAAGTGAACCGAAATTTTAACTTACAGTACTTTGCTGCGTTTCAGTATACATAAATAAACCAAATAAAGTTATTTGAACCTTACAAGTCTTTAAAAAAAGTATATTAGGCCTATATATCCAAATAAAAGTGACAAAAATCGAAAGTAATGCTTTTGATATATAAAATTCTATTTGATTATTTAAATCATTCCAGAGAACAAGGTGTTTTTTTTAAACATTTTATTTCAATGTTTTTATGCATAGTTGGGACTTAAGTAAACAATCCTTGCCATTGCTTTTGTTATTACGAGATTTATATCTCTAAGGCATCTCCCGTTGGTTTTCTCATGTTAATTAAACTAGCTTTACAGTAAATAAATGAACAAGTGTTGTATTTTGTTTGCCCACATGATATGTTTTTTTTTCATTAGGTACGATGAAAAGAACTAAGAAAACTAAAATTATAAGGTGAACACAATATAACTGGAACAATAATTTGCCTAAGTATAAAATTATATAGAATAGTTTTATATAAGCCTTAAAATATATATTTTATTTCCATGTTTTGATGCATAGTGCGAACTACAGTATTTTTGGCAACACTCTTTGTGTGTTGCTATTGTTCGTACGGGATATTTTACAGGATTCCTCGTTGGTTTTCTCGTATTTGGATTAGTTACACTAGTTTTGAGGTTTTGTTGTATTGTTTGCATTGGCTTTTGATTCTAGGTGGAACATAGAATGCAATTGTGCCTATTGAACAAATTGGGTGACGTTTGGATCTAAAAATAGTCTAAAGTACTATTCGGTCGCACAGGAAATCCTTAACAATAAGTGAGCACGTACGTTAAACTGCACCACAGATCAGGATGTTTACATTGTCAACAAACGTTTAAGGACTACCCTTTCTTTTTGGGATTTATCGATTCAAGGAAAAAAGAATAGGCGTACAACTACTCATTTATTTATTTTTTTTGTTACTGAAAACTACCATGCTAGATAGTCAAAATTGACTTAATGCAAAGTCATATTCCTCAAATGTGCTGGGCTTTAAGGGGTCTTCGTCCCCTTCCACCTCCACCAGGGGCTCTGCACCTGGACCTCGCCGGGGGCCCTAGGCGGCCCCCTGGCCCCAGCCTAAGGCTGCTCGCTTCGCTCGCAGGCTGCGCCCCCCCCCCCTTTTTTCTGGCAGGCTAGATCCGCCCCTGGTACCAATATTACTTTACGATTTTTTAAAATATTGAGAATTGAAAAGTTCATTTATTTGCAATAAAATATTTGAAGACAATCATCGAAAATTGCTCCAATGTTTTTGCACGCTGCAGGTGGAAGGTGATACAGGCATCAACACTGATGTGACTAAGCTAAACTTTCTGCCTTTGTTGTTTTGACTCGATAATGATAATCTCTGTTTTGTCCTCGTTGATCTTTAAGTAGTTTCGAGTCAACAGGAACAAAGATATCATCAAGACAAGACTCAGTGCGGGCTATTCCGTTGTCAACTTCTGATCCAACTGGTAGGCATGGGATGTAAATATGCGTATCATCAGCGTACGAGGGAAAATGAAGATTGTGTTTTACAATTCTCCGGGAAATTCAGCAGTTATGGTAAAGACTAATATGTGTTTAAATTCAGTATTATAATGAGTAATGCTTACACCATAGAGCTTCATGTTTCCGATTGACGTCCGGGGACTGAATGCCCCGATTCTGTAGTAACGTATATATCAATGACAAAATCAAAGTTTATTGTGATTGCCATTCCTTGATATTGTGGTCTAAAAGTTTAATTTTAGGATGCCCAAAAATCGCAGCTGGCAATAATGCAGAACCGCTATAACCATCTTTTCAAGTGGTAAAGTTGAGATATGAATTCATCCTTTTTTAAAAATATGACTTTCTGTTGATAGGTCTACACAATAATAGCAGCTGACAACCAGAAGAAAGTTACTTCTACCCCATGCAGGGGCAGTTACAGGATTTAAAGATAGTAGAAGTGGACTAGATATAATACCCTCCACTTCAGCTCCACCATGGTTGAAAAATGGCTCCTCTGCAGAAGGAAACACATCATTACTTTAAAAAATGAATATCCATCACTTTAGCGGCTAAAATTTGTATGTAATCAGCTGATACCGACTTGGCACAAATACGTTTGTGTTGTGATGGCAATTTGGCAACTCTAACCCGTAAAATTTTATAAGATAAAAGTTAATTTTAATTTTATATTTATAGGCCTACCTCAAAATATTTTCAAAATTTGTTTTTATCTTTATTACTAATAATTAAAGTTTGCCAAAAAAAAGTTAAAAATTAGGCAATATAAAAACAAGCGCATGGTGGATTTTTGTTTAAATATATAAGTATCAGTATATATTAATTTAAAATAATAGAATCGAGAAAAAGTGGTCCAGCCACAGCCGGTGTTGTTTCGACGGGCCTGATAACTCTATTCAGTGGCGTATCTAGGGGGCTGTGTGGGTGGAGAACGCCACTCAAAAATACTCGTCCCCTCCCCCTCAAGTAGTTAAAAGTCACCTAAAATTACCTTATTTTGCGAGTTAGAGCCCTTCACCTAATCATACAGCACCCCACCCCCACGTGCCCTTCGTGCTCCCTATCATCCTCTCCCCATTTCAAGTTTCCTCCGAGCTGTGCCACTGACTCTCTTCTGTGATCTTCTGTCATGTTAGTTGTATATTCAGCGTTTGTTGTAATGAATATATTGGTAATACATTTATCCATATTTAAGGGACAGATTAGAGGAGATTTAATGGCTTATTTAAAGGCTTGCAAAACTTCATTAAAATTTCATTTTGAAAAACATGCACGGCATACAGATTGAGTGCGTCATGCATGGTGTAATTCTCCAATGAATTAAATCATTGTACCGTATAAAATATAAACATTACGCCAACAACACAACTTTATTTCCTTGTATGACACTACTGTACTGAATACCAAAACGTTAAGACAGTATGTTATGATATTGTGTTATTTCAAGACACCATGCACTGTATCATACTTAACGAAGGTCTATCATTTGGTCTGTTGTGCCCCAGAAAGAGAAGATGGCAGCAGTCATTGGTTTTGATTTTAAGTTGTATATTCAGCGTTGCTTGTACTGAAATAATTCATCCTACAGATGTAGTCGTATTTGAGGGCCAGAATGCCTTCTTTGAGTATTCGTCACCGGTCCAGGCTTTTTCATTGGTCTGGTACAGGACGCGGCATGGTGAAGCAACGCGTCTGTTCAATGACGGAAAATACGTTATATTTGTTAACGGCATGCGTACGGCGAGTAATTTGACAGTCTTAAATGTGACAAGGGCTGATAATCAGACAAATTATCACTGCGAACGAGATATTATATCTTCTAGTTTCGCAACCCTTACAGTCATTACACCCCTTGATACAGATTATCCAAAATGTACCATTACTAACACTATAGATAACATACATGTTGGAGAAATTGTGGAGATCGTGTGCATTGCAATCGGTGGTATACCAAGACCATCTTTACATTGGTTTAAAAACAATAGCAAACTTAATGAAACCGACGATTTTACGTCACACAATAGTAGTGCTACTCACATAGACTGATATCAATTTCATTGTCAAATGAGGATAATGGAGTCGAATTCAAATGTAAAGCTGATGGAATATCTGTAGTTGGAAACCAGTCTTGCTCTGTTGTGCCTTTAAGCATCCAACCTAATGTAAGTATAATCGTAAATAAAATATTATATGATGCTGGAGACTCATTAAACATTACCTGTTTCGGTGACGGTATTCCACTTATTTCGGAATATAACTGGTTCTTTAACAACAAGCACTTGACGTCATCTGAATCAATGTTTAATATTATTGACAATGGTACGATTTTAGAGATTTTAGAACTTCAAACTGAACACTTAGATGCTGAAATAAGATGCAAAGTCAGTATACCATCTGGATTAAGTGCCAATAAAAGCATCACCCTTTCTTTCACCAGTCACGATGCAGCAACTGGTGACTTGATAATTTACATAGTAAGCGGATCTGTATTAGGTCTACTTATTTTACTAGGCCTACTTGTAGTTTGTATCAAAACGAAGAGAAATCAAGAAAAAAAGAGCAAAGTGAAGACAGCATATTATGCCAATCACAACGTATCGTTGAACAAGGTTGAATTAATTGAAATGAATAACGACTTGTACAGCAATTGTGAGCCTCAACCAGAACATCCTGTGCCCATGCTTGGAAATAAAAGTGTCGAAAATTCCATATATTCCGATGTGACAGACATCAAACAAAATTAAGGTTAAAGCCCCAAAGAAACATATTCAATGCAAAATAAAAGATAGCGACAAGACAGAATACTATTGTCCACTAGGTCTATTGACGACCTTTATCCTGAACTAAAATGTAAGAATTTAAGGAAGTATAACCAATAAATGAAAAGCAGAACCCAGATACACAATCTGTTGATAGAATAGCTGATTTTGGAGATCTATAAAACACTGACAATCAATTCATCAGTCTCTTGAAAAAAATGTTTTGGAATCTCCTAAAAACGCACGTCCTCAAACCGATCGGAATCAGTTGATCTTATACAGAAAGCATTTTAAGAAACTTGTAACTTCGTCAACTGAACATTTACCACAACTTTACACTAAGTCGGATAGAACATACAAGGAGGCGTCTGAAGCTAGACTATATATCCTACCACATGCCCTGGCAGGCATGAAATAGAAAGCAATAACCTTTCTGTCACAATGGGATTGTGGACGAGGGTTATTTTTGTTCA